CTCATATTACCTCACTCCACCCTCACTTAACCCCACCCAGTCCAGCCTCATGTTACCTCACTCCACCCTCACTAAACCCCACCCAGCCCAGCCTCATGTTACCTCACACCACTCTCACTTAACCCCACCCAGCCCAGCCTCATGTTACCTCACACCACCCTCACTTAACCCCACCCAGCCCAGCCTCATGTTACCTCACTCCACCCTCACTGAACCCTACCCGCAGCCCAGCCTCATGTTACCTCTCTCCACCCTCACTTAACCCCACCCAGCCCAGCCTCATGTTGCCTCACTCCACCCTCACTTAACCCTACCCGCAGCCCAGCCTCATGTTACCTCACTCCACTCTCACTTAATCCTACGCAGCCCAGCCTCATGTTTCCTCACTTCACCCTCACTTAACCCCACCCAGGCCAGCCTCATGTTACCTCACTCCACCCTCATTTAACCCCACCCAGCCCAGCCTCATGTTACCTCACTCCACCCGCACTTAACCGCACCCACCCCATCCTTATTCATCCCAGCCCAGCCCAGCCAACGACAAACTTTTCCGAACTGACGGACTCTAACCTCTTCTAGACTCTAACCATGATATGTTTATCGTACATAATATTTTATCAAACGATCCTTGCCTATGCGTCTGTCATGATTATTATTCATCACGATATTCTCGTACAAGGATGTTTCCATGTACTGCCCTGGTTGCACGTGGGAATATATTTTTGCCAAATGCAGGCTTCCGCCACCAAAATTATCTTCAGATCCACATCTGACGTCACTTCTGCCATATATTTAGGTCAGATCTTGAACACCAGCTGCCACTTGCATTCGAGAACTTGATTTTTAAGATCTTTGACGAACGGGCTGCGTCGATTCCCAGGATTACCTGGCTTCTGGACAAGATTTTCCAGCTAACTGTATATTTCCCAAAGCACATGCATTTTTGTGCCTTGCATTCAAATGTCAATTTCGGCTACCATCGATTGTTTGGATGAAGACGTCTTACCAAACGTAAATGCTCAGTTTCTAATTCATAGCTGATGGTTCAGGAAAACATATGACCTTTTCACGTAGAAATAAACAGCCGATTCAAGCTACAACTGTTCTTTGTTTCCGAGCACCAGCATATCTCGGTGTCTTCCCTCTCACAGTGTTATCTTCAACTAAAGTTAAAACTTAAGCTACCCGCCAGATTCGAACCTGGCTCCCTTCTTCTCTGCGGGAGCATCGCGGCCAGCTTCTGCACACTCGCAGTTGTTTTTCCAGCGCTATTATTCGGTTTATTTGCGGCCGATTGTGCCAATATTTGGAGACGGACGTGTTTTTGCAGAACGCGCCCGAAATGCGAGCTGTGGTGTTCGACGAATCATCGGATAAATTGGTCGAGAGCGGCCATTATGGTGATGTGGTGGGGCTGTTGGAGCTCGCCTGTCGGAAGGGGGAGGCAGCTCTCGTGCTGGGGGCGCGCCACGGAGGGGCGGGACGCCTACGGGAGGGCAACTGGGTACTAACTCTGCACGAAATGATATCAGTTTCATGGTGCTTCACAGAAAGAAATGACAGAGACCTCAAGCCCCCCCCCCCGCACCCACCATCACCACCTCCAAACCTCTGAGAATCTACCGCCAGTGGGGTTGTGCTCTGTTGTCGGTCCAGAAGAGAAAGACAGTCTTTTCCTGTTTTTTTTTCCAAACCCAAATCACCAATTCACCCCAGTCCAAATACAAGGCATACAAGGCGTACCCCAAAGTCACGCTCTTCAGCCAAAAACTAAAAGAACAGCTGTCACGAAACCAATGCGCACCAAGTTATCACCACACCTCTTCGAGCCCCCGATGCCACCGCAGAGTTGCTGACGTACGCCGCCCCGTCCAGCGCCCCGCGCATGCGCGACCGGCAGAACGCAGCACACACTGCCTCGGGGCCCCGTTTGGGGATCCCCACCGGAAGTCACTTAAGGGTGGCGCGTGGAGGGTCAGGGGACTCAGATCCGGATGGGCTCGGCGCTTTTAGTCAGCGACGAGCGCCGGCGGCCCCCTCCCCTCTCTCCCGCCTCCTCCCTCTTCTTCTAACGTTTTGGAGGTCGACGGCGGCGAACGAACCTGTCCCGTTCGGAATCGAAGCAGTCGGAGGTGACTATGGGTGACGGTGACTATGATGGTGACTATGATGGTGACGGAGGTGACTATGGGTGACGCAGCTGTGATTGCGCACACTTCTGCCGCCTTCGTGATTTGTGGCGCGCACGCTGCGCTCGTGCTGAGTTATGAGATACTTGGGTAGATCTGGCGCGAGCTTTGAGATTTTGACAAACTTTACGATTGAGCTTCATGCTCAGGGCTAGCCACAAACGCCAGGATAGCAATTCGTTGCAATGAGCGTGTTGGAAGAAGGCATAACACGGGCTCGTGGTGTTGTTGTTTGCGGTGGGGCGACAACATCATTCAAGAGCCAGTCTCACAAAAATGGAAAAAAGGTTCAACGAAACTGAAAATGCCTGAGCGGCGGGTTTAAGGCGAAAGCAGCAGACCCACGGCATTCATCCCGAAACAAGCAGTCTTGGCGAGGTGTACTCATCCGAAACAGTTATAAGAGACAATAATAACCTCCACATCTTCAGATAGTCTTCCATTTGGTCATGGTTGGAAAAATGCTTTGTGGTAAACGAGCGAGGCAGCGAGTGCACTACGTTTGAATGAATTTATCCTTTTTCGTTAGTCGTTGCACGATGCACCCTATTCCAGTAGCTTTGCTAGCAGGTCTTTCAAGGATTAAGTCTTACGACTTGACCAATCGTACCGCATAAAATGGCAATAAGTAGGTTTATGCTCAGATTTGGTCCACTTTCTTTCCTAAGTGGAGGGGGAGGGCTAAACACCAAGTTAGAGGGGAGGGAGGGGGAGGGGCTGAAGCCTCCAACTGAACAGAAAGCTGCGCTCATGAGTACTTTGGTAAACATTCTCCAACGGTGAGGACATCTGTGCGCCTCACTTCAGTTTCCCGCCCACATTATAGGTCCTTGTGGAAATCCGAATATCTTTCCATTCCAACGGAGCATAGCGTTTGGAGCAATGTGCCGTCCTGGCCGAAGAGCCATTGGTTTGAATTTGAAAGAAACGGAATCATGGAATCCACAAGTTGTGGAAATTGTCTTCGGCGTCGCGAACAATTTTGGGGAGGGCGGTGAGAGGTCGAAATCATGGTATAAGGCTCGCACATGCTTCACAAATTCGATTTTATGACCATGAATGAAGAATGCTAGACATTTGAGTCTGAGACACTATAGGCTCCACACTGCTCGAAGGGAACGCCTACAGTCATGGGGTCAGACTTATACGAGAACGGCGTATTTTCTAATTTTCTAACGGCGGCCATTTTTTGGTGCCCTCCTCATGATGTCGGCAACAAACAGTTCTAATCATTTCTCGCTCATATCAAACTATACGACGTCACTCACCTGGTCTCATCGCATTGCCTAAATTCGAGAATTTTATCCAGACGTTATCGCTTTTGTTCCCGACCTCTCACGTATGGTTCAGACCGCTGCTACCATGCCTAGCTAATTACGAATGTCCCAACTTCACGTTCATCCACTGAGACAATCTGTGCACTCTGTTGCCCAATCCTGCTGTCACTGTGTGTTGGTCGGCGTGCGGCTCTGGCTACGGACATCGATGTTAAGTCAGTTTCAGCTGCCCGTAGCGGGTTAGCATCGAAGTACGGGCTGGGTCAGCGCTGCATTGATGTCTCGTTTATCCGGCCGTTCATGGTATACATGCAGTGCGCCCTTCATCCTTCCAAAGCCTGATACTTCATCGGCATGCTTTTAAGATTTGCCGGACTCGTCCAGGCACGCCCACAACTCCCTCCGAATACACTGGAATATGTATTCGGAATACAAGATGTATGGAAATAAACATGGAAATGTGTATGGAGTGCGGTGACCCTATGGCGACGTGTACATGGCGCAAACAAATTACGCGAGCATCTATATTTCTCCTGGGATTTTGCAACCAATCATACACGGGTTAAAATGTAGTTGGTTTAAAAGACTAACATGAATATGATGTCTGACTGTCGCCGCCACTTGCCGAGGTGAAATAGAGCGGGGCTGTGATGGGGTCTGGACTCTGTGATAAGTATATATGTCCAGGTAGTTGGCAAGCACCCGGACATCGTTTCCTTCACGGAGTGCCTCTAAATGGAATGGTATAGAGGGATGATAAGACTTCGGAGTCTACCTCTGTTTATAGGTTGTTTTGTCGCGGAGCTGGTCCGCGCCAACGAGGAACGCTTGGCTGTCAATGACGTGCACAGCCAGGCTTTTTGGCTGTGCAGTGTTTGTGGTGTTTCAAGTGTGCTGTTGAAAACGTGCACGGTCACGTAGTTGCTATGCTAGAACATATTTAGAATACTCATTAAAACCATTAGAAATTGGTAATTTCCTACCAAATATCTGTTCTTATTTGGCATTATTCCGTTCAATTTCTAAGAAAAATGTCCGAAATAACGGGAGCCAAAACTGGGCGAAAGGCAGCGTGCTGTGTACTTTAAATGCATCGGGACGAAAGCAGTTGTCAAAGGAGGCTGGCGACTATCTATATATTGTAACTATGACAGGGACTTATACATATTTCTAAAGAATTGCGCCTCTTGTTGATGAATGCTGCAGGAACTTGCAACGTGTGGTTCCAAAAGTATTATGCCGTGTAGCCCGTAAAGCTGTCCGGATCAAGCAAAAACCATTGCATCTCATCCACCCTGAGGCCTTGCTTAGCTTATTTATACAAGAAGCAAGGCGAGACCGTTTCACGTGCCAAAAACGCTGTGGATGGACAACACTTCGGATGGGCCTTGCCCTGGATGGATTCTACGGAAAAAAACCTCTGACTCATTCGCCAGGTTTGCCACCTGCAGGTGCAGGACGGGTATTTTGTCCACTATCCGGCTCCTTCAGTCAGATTTCCTCTCGCAAACCAGGAGCAAGTAACGTGCATTACAAACTGGTTACCGTGCGGCCGCAGACACAATTTATTCACGATCATCGCAGTCCTTGCTACGCAGCGAGCTCCGACACTCCCCACCACTCACTCGCACGCTCCCGACGCAGCAACCAGAGCCGCCATCACTCACTCCCACACTCCCGACATAGCAGTCAGGGCCAGCCTCTCACTCTCGACACTCGTTCACACACCCAACAAGGGAGACAGACCGACGCCGAGATACAACTCGCAACTATCATGGGAGGAACGCTCTGCTGGTCGCACCGCGTGAAAATCCGCCATCTGCCGAGCCTCGTCCTACCACCATACGCCAATGCATCCCGCGTCACTACCAAGATCACCTGTGCAGGGGCCAGCGGTGAGACCAGCGCCATCTATTGCCCGTAGCGAGAAGCTGTCGTTCCCCGGACATGCGCCAGGGCACGCGGCCCCATCCGTCCGGCAGAGCAGTGCGCGTCTCCGTGAATTTCCATGCACACGTCGACGCCGACAATTTCCGCGCGGCCTTACATGAACTGATTAACAGTGCGTAGCTCCTACACCTAGCACCAAGTGGCAAGCGGACGAGCGGCAACACGAGGGTTGTTCGGCAAGATCGTGCACGACACGGGGACCGCGACAGATCGGGGCGTCGGAGGGGCCGTGGCAGTTCGAACCGCGTGCATCACAGACAGGCCTAATCAGGACCGACGGCGCCCGCAACACCTAACCCGCATGCGATAAGGCCTAACAGCGGATACGCCGACGAGCCGTCCCTTCCTAACGGGTCGACACAGAAGAGTCCCGCGGGGGCGCCAGCCGCGCCCTCCCGCGCCGCCTGCGCGGAACCCGGGCGCCAGTCGGCGCCTCCGCCCATGTGCGTCTGAGTCATTCCGCGCCCGGAGCCCGCGGAGTGTGCGCGACGAGTGGAGCCGGGCGCGACGGTGGCGGAGCGTCGGTCCGCTCCGGTGGAAGCGCCACGAGAAGCGCAGCGTTTGGTGACTTCCCAGCGAGAGAAACCTGCGTCCGGCAGGTGCGGGCTTCCGGCTTAACAAGCAGTCTCCTTCTGCTGGGGCTGATCGGAGCTCTTGGGATAGCCGTGCAGTTACGGTCTGAGTAAATGATCACAACGAGGGAGATCCTAACAACGGAACGTTTGCTTATGACGGAATGCGCTGAAAGGAATGACAGATATCCTCAAGATTGGAACAACAGATGCAAACAAGTTAAAGCTTACATGTTTCCAAACATCTAACAAGAGAACAGCCCATCAGTGACGTTTGCAGACGTCACGCCCATCAAATCCATCTCACGGTATCTGTAACTTTGAAGCTCAGAGTCAAGACAATGCGGCATGGAGTATGACGTGGAAAATGATGCAGCTTGTGGAAACAAATGAACCATATTAGCACAGCCATCTACCCTCTTTGTATCTTACTGGCCTCATGGCATTGGATACATTTGAAACCACCATATTATTTCTGGCTGCTCAATACTGTGGGTTGCCAATACTGTACAGTTTGCAAATATAATCTTGAGTCTTGCTGTGTTGAAGATGCCGACTTCGAAACGAACCTTAAAAAAGAAAACTTTAGACGGAAACCGTTTGCGGAAATTTTGATGTTCTTGAAAGATTGTGCGGAAAGTTGTCAAAAATACATGAATATTATACCATATTGCAAAACGTGGAATACCTTTCCCATGAAATCTGTTGAAGCAGTCTAAGCGCAACCAATGAACGGAAAATATGCCTGACATCACTTACAACATCTGAAGTAAAGCACACAAAGGACCACTGCAGTGCGCAAAACGCTCCCGAATTTCGGGAAAGCAACACAAATGGGTGTTAAAACCAAACAAGAAGCGGACTCCCGTTGGTTATCCCGCTCGTGAAAACCTAACAGCTCGTCTAAAGTGCAACGGATAGACGCCTCAGGCGACCCAAAGCACGGGTGCCGCTGGCAGGGACCGCAAGTTGGACAAGCCGGTCCGTCCATAGCCATCATCGATGCCAAGCGCCCAGCGACTGTCGCAATGTCATCTAGCGGCCGCCGCCATCACTCGACCTTCTTGACGGCGCCGTTGGTGACGCTGCGGTCGGGCTTCTTGGCCAGGTAGGCCTTGTGGAAGAAGTGCGCGAACAGTGCGAAGTAGCTGAAATACATGACGAGCGAGAGATTGATGTTGAGGTAGGAGACGTCACACTCGCCGCCGCTGGTCTTGACGTGGTAGGCGTAGAAGTTGATGAGGCAGCCGACGATCATCTGAGCCAGTTGGCAGGTGGTGATGGTGACGGAGATCCACCTGCGCAGCAGATGCGGAAGGCTGTCAGGTTTTGTCATTTTTGAGGCGTTTTGTGAGCGCAGCAGCTACTGGGCTATTTCGCGCTCGAACCTATTACTTCCTGAGCGTTATACTGCTAAAAAGAAGAGTACATGACCCGAAGGCCGGTAGCGCCCAGAAAGTTCAGCAATTTATACGGTTCTATCGCAGGACGTTTTCCGATAAATGACGCCAGTGGCCTCAGGCCACCGAAGAACTTCCCCCTCTCGGCAGACAGCTGTCGACAGTCGACAAGACATACTGACAGTCAGCAGTTCGCCGCATTTGCCGCATGAGGGGACTGTTGGGCGTTGTTTAATCGAAATATGTGCGTGCTGTACACACGGCCAATGCGTGAGCTGCTTAGAACAGGGCTGGCGCAGTTATGACGAACCTTCGTATTAAGACACCACAAAAACCGCTGTCGCACAGGCGAAGTTTCTTTTCTTCTTACGACACCTCTTTAGGCGTTTTTTCCATACTATATCGAGGACTGAAATTAAGCGGACTCACCTTTGCATCAATGTATAAAGGGATCACATGGGTCTTTTGCGACGGAAACTATCTTGTTATAGTCGCACTTCCCTCGTCCAATAAAGACACCGACAAAATATATCTGTGTGGTGTGTGTGTACGTGTGGCACGTGTGTGGGTGGTGTGGTAGGTGTGTGTGTGGTGTGTGTGTGTGTGTGTGTGTTGTGTGTGTGTGTGTGTGTGTGTGTGTGTGTGTGTGTGTGTGGTGTGTGTGTGTGTGTGTGGTGTGTGTGTGTGTGTGTGTGTGTGTGTGTGTGTGTGTGTGTGATGTGTGTGTGTGTGTGTGTGTGTGTGTGTGTGTGTGTGTGTGTGTGTGTGTGTGTGTGTGTGTGTGTGTGTGTGTGTGTGTGTGTGGTGTGTGTGTGTGTGTGTGTGTGTGTGTGTGTGTGTGTGTGTGTGTGTGTGTGTGTGTGTGTGTGTGTGTGTGTGTGTGTGTGTGTGTGGTGTGGGTGTGTGTGGGTGTGTGGTGTGTGGTGTGTGGGGTGGGGTGTGGGTGGTGGTGGGTGGTGTGGGTGGGTGTGGGTGGGTGTGGGTGGGTGTGGGTGGGGGGTGTGGGTGGGGGTGTGTGGTTGGGGGTGTGTGGGTGGCGTGGTAGGCGTAGTGTGTGCATGCGTGGCCGCACGCGTGTGTGTGGATATGTGTGGGAGCGGGTGTCATGTCATCTCGTAGCATTCGAGCACCTACAGACATGCGTGAAGAGAGACGCGGACATTTCTTCCTCCGCAGCTCCGCCCAGCCCAGCTCCGCTCGCCCTCCCTAACTACCTCCCCGTCCTCGGGCGGGTCCCCACTTCCGGTCCTACCTGGGCACGCGGTACCGCAGCGCCTTGAAGGCGTAGTAGCTGTACATCATCGAGTGGACGAAGTAGTTCATGTTGACGAACCAGCGCGCCGTGGTGATGTAGTCGGAGTAGCTGCAAGGACAGAAGGATGCAGTTAGCCACGATAGCTCGCACCCTTGAGACTCTGGGGGTGTTTGTGTTCGAGTGTTGGGGGCACTGGGGTTTCATGACGCACCCAGCTCCTTAGGCTACATGGCGTCGCCTGCCCCTCACCCGGACAGAAAGGAACCGCGGGCAACGCGAGGAACCTTAAGGCTCCTACCCCGAGGGTCGGCGCCCGAAGGTTGCTCGTAGGTTGCCACGGGACCGATAGTTTAGATATACGCGTAGTTAACACCCGTAAGTCTTTGGCCCTTCCGGTTCCGAGGAATGATCCCATTAAACCGACGTTAACACCATTGATGGCGCCATCCACTAGCCCGTAAGACGAATCAGGGTAATGGAAAATCATGGACGGAAATCGAGCCACAGGCCCGACGTGAATGAAATTTCTGCTAAAAAGCGCCGAGTTCAAAGCATAGTACATGCTTGTAGTCACATTGTTTTTGTACAATCCGCCTCTTTTTGTATAATCCGCCACCAACTTCGCTAGAGTGCTCGCTACACGAGACTTAGATCACGGTTACCAGTTTGTTCCAGTCAACCGTTCAGTACACACAAGAGCCAGGAAGACGCACCAGGGTGGCTGAAAAACCTGACGTCAGTTTATTAACCCGGCCCTGAGCCCCACCGGCGCAATGCTTGATCTCCACAAAACAGAGCTGTAGACCATCATCAAACAAGGCCGTTGTCCGTCACACAACGAAACTCAACAGTGTGTTACTAGCCAGATACCTCGCTGTAAAAACAAACAATCGTCTCTCGCATTCGTGAAAACAGGCACCGCAGACGCCACAGGAAACGTCATGTCAAGCCGAGGTCACCTCCGGGCCATAGCACATTACGTAAGCTCCGGAATTGGGGTGGGAGAGAGGGGGGGGGGAGCACCAGAGGCGCGTGGCGGACAAGCACCACGGGCAAAACCTCAGTACTGGTGATTGGATGCGCGGTTTTTGGAGATAAAAATGCGGTCTCAATTCGGGCCCTCATCTGGATTATCCACGACGCAGGACTCGCCACCACCGGACACTGACAATCAGTTGTGCATCCCACGCTGCATGGCCATCCCATGGCTGTTAAAATTTTCGACGACAGGAAAGCTCCAAAACTGTCGACGAGACTGTCTCCAAGACCTTTCTGCCCCATCAATAACCTCAGCTCCACAACATAGTGACGATGATGATTTGGGGCTTTAGGGCGCATCGACTGCTGTAGGTCATGCAGCGCCCATAACTATCAATTAATGCAGAGCCGCCAATCAGAAAAGTGCATCAATCAGGTCACCCTATAAAGCCTTGATGATCAGGCCTGGTGACGTGATGAAACGATTGCTGGGAAATCTATAGCGCGAAGAAACTGGAGCACTCTACCAAACTCGACGGCGTTCGAAGAATCCCCTAAAAAGTCACATAGCGTGCGACTCTGGACGTGGTGTCCGAAAAACTGCGCTCTCGTTGCAGTAAGGTGGCGGCAAGCGACCAGTACGTGATGCACGGTCAGCGGGTCAGAGCATCGACTGCAGCATGGCCTGTCGCCAGCCAATAGCAGGTGACGGTGCGTAGCACATGTGACCTATGCGTGACCGGCAAAGGGCAACTTCTTCCACCCTATTGTCCCAAAAGCACGACTGCCACAGTCCAATACGGGGTTTCACCGACTGCAGCTTGTTGACACTCAGCGAGTTCCAGCGGAACTGCCATCTCTTCTGCATAAACAACGACACTGCGGGGTACATGTCTTGAGCTGGTAGTTGTGTTATAGGAATTCTAGTCCCTGTCGTAGCGCGCTTTGCTGCCGCGTCAGCAAGATCGTTTCCGCATATCCCCACGTGACTTGGGATCCAGCACAGAACGATCGTTTTTCCTGCTCGATCCAGTGAGCTAAGGCGCGATTGAATGTCCTGGACCAGTGGATTCGACGGGGAGAAGCCGCCAACAGCCAGGAGGCTGCTCAAGGAGTCGGAAAGAAATTAAATGCAAATTGCTATCGTCCACTTCAATAAAACAGAGAGCTTTGCTGATGGCTATAAGCTCGGAGGTGAAGACCGACGCATGTGAAGGCAGCGCGAAGGACCGTGTTGTGGATCCACACACAAAAGCGCACCCTACACCTGCGTCCGTCTTTGAATCATCCGCATAAGTCGTCATGTACCCGTCGAAAGATGCAGCTCCACAACATAAAAACCCATTCCAATCCAAGTACCTGGTAATCCCCGCGGCACCCACGACCGCTGGGCCTGCACCGGACCCTGGAAAGGCATCACTGGACAACCGACGCGGTCCTGTCCGTTTGAACGTTGTTACCAAGCGCCGATCAACGCGTTGGCCAGCCGCCTTGCGAAGCGCGCGCGTTGCTATGGCGACGGGACTCGCACTCCTCCCCCTACCACGTGCGTCGCAGCACGCGCCATCCCTGACCTTTCGTCATGGTCGGCGGTACGGTCCCCAACGGAGCGTCCCAAACAGATAAAGCGCAGACGCCCGTTCGGAGCACGTGCCGGCGAAAGGCGGGTGACGGCGGCACCTCGCCGACTGTGCAAGCGGGGGCGTCCAACGCGGCGTCGAAGGGCTCAACCCGTCAGCCTGATATCTTCATCGCTGACTGCAGAAAAAGACGGCGGCTGCGGGAGTCTATCGGACAACTGAAACTAGAGACCATGATGACGTGGTCACGGCAACACCCACGTCCGCAGGAGAGATCATCCAGCTCCGAGAGCAGGGAAGATCATCCAGGTCCGAGACCACACGGGAGATCATCCAGCTCCCGAGACCACACGGGAGATCACCCAGCTCCCGAGATCAGAGCGGCATCGACGCCCTGGAAACCATCGGCCGCCTAGCATGAGTGTTAACCAGACTAGCCCCGACCTGTGAAGCTCGGGCCAATTGCGCGGCCGAACCGAATAACCAAGGCGACGCCGGTCATTGGTTGATTGTTTGGCGTTCCGGGACTCGCCAGAACCACAGTCCGCTTTCTGGGTGATTCGTCTCGATTGACGATAACGTCTGGCGAAGCCCTGGCGACCGTCATCAATTTGCACGCCTCATTACGCAGGAATGCATCATCATTATGCAACACATTACCGCCTCCGATCGCCGGACGGATCGCCTGTCGCCATCCCACGACACCGCTGCGAAAGCGTCACGTGATGCCCTGCTGACCGCACGCCTGGCGACCGGAGCGAGTCATGTGACATCGGCCCTCGGTCCCCCGGCCGTGTGTCTGCCTGGACAACTGCGTAGTGCCGGCGGATTCGCGAGCCGCGTGCCACATGCACAGTCCGGCCGTGCCACATGCACGGTCCGGCCGTGCCACGTGCACAGTCTGGCCGTGCCACATGCACGGTCCGGCCGTGCCACGTGCACAGTCTGGCCGTGCATGGGTCGATCACGTGCGCACCGAGCCAGGAAGAAGTGGGTCTGATTGGTGCAATCCGTGTTTGCGCTGAAATATGGTGCTCGCTGCAAACACAGACGTCTTTTGAACGAGACCAAAGTTCACTCGCGATAAACGACCTGCTGGCTTGCACGTGGCAACTGCTGACAACGGACTTGAATGATTACGTCGAAATCGTTGAAATGAAAGCACTACGTAATGAATGGTGACATTTCAAATAGCCGAGCAAAAACGACGGCAAATGTTTTAAGATGACCATCGACGCAATCATGATGCGAGCGAGCACCAAAAAAACATAATTGCTCGGCTAAGAAATCGATAGAAAAAACACAAGCTTTCGGAACGACAGATGGATCAGCGCCATTAATTCCGAACGCTTTCATCCTTACAGCGAACCTAATCAAGCGCACGTCACTATGGATCGAAGGGAGCCGCGGCAGGACGGGCAAACACTAAATAACTAAACGGGTGTGTGGGTTCCGAGCCTTTCACAATGCACCCGGTTCTCGTCACCAAATCCAATGGAACGGGTCGTTCCAAGCATCTGTTATAGATGGAGCTTCCAGGGAACAGTCCTTAACAATGAAACCAGCGCCGCCCGCGAGCTCCTACGGCTTTGTCGGGGCGTTGTGCCGCGTTTGTTTATGATATATGCCAGACCCCATGGAGTTAATGCGCCGGTCTGGGTTAATAAAACAGGAACAAAACACATCATCAAAAGGTCGGGTGGCGCCGTGAGCCACCGCTTACATGAAGCAAAGCTGCCGACTTGCGCACAACAAAGCCCGCTGCAGGACCGGCCATTTCAGTGCAGCCAGTGGGTGGCGTGGCCGAAAGCTACAGGACATGCTGGGTTGTACCGAAAACTGACTTGGCCCCAGCACCAACCAATTCTGCTTCCATAATGACTTAAAAGTAATAAGAAATAGCCAAAACTAAAGCCAAATATCCCTAAATAGCCCAAATTAAAGCAATAAGAAATAGCGTCTCTCACTTACACCACCCGTCCGCACTAAACGATACTGACTGTAAATAACGCTGACTCAACGACACAAACTGTAAACGACGCTGACCGACCAACACAAACTGTAAACGATACTGCAGCTGGGGTAAAACAGTCATCCATCAATTTGACGGATCGATTATTTGAAGCCTTCCGACGAGTCGATTGCTGGGATCATATTGCACTACGCCAGCGATCAGCCTAAGTCGCATACAGTGCTTCACGAACACATCACACCATACACCACCATCACAATATCTCCAGACGCCACCGGCCACGCCGAAAACACTGGACCCGGGAAAAGTTTAACCACGTCAGATCCTGCCTGCGACGTCCAGCTTTGCGGCATAACCACCGCCTACCTGAACGTCTCCTTCGCATTATGAACGTTTCCATAGTGTCGTTCGGTGCATTACGAGCATCCACCACGACCGAACAGCAGCCGAGACCCCCCGCGGGGAGAGCCTTGCAGTGACGGCGGCGGGGTTTCACGCGTCGCTGACCCAGCGCCACGCGGCGCCCACGCAGCGCCTGGTCACGCAGACGGCCGCACCCCGTCCTCACGGCCGGCGAG